AGCCCTGGAGGAAGGATGACTCCCTGGGCACCACTGTTCCAGACACTAACAACACATGAAAAATGCAGGGAGTTCTCATGATGGACTTCAGGGCAAGCCTGCACCCGATTCTTCTATTTTCTCTGCCATTCAATCTATGCCTCACCCTGTCAGTAGCTGGGAGACTTTTATGGCTAATACAGCTGTAGAATGGACAATATGTTCCACTGTATCAGCTCAATTTAATTTGACACATTAAAAAAGAGTTTCAAACAGACAGAGTTGAAAATAAACTTCCAATAAATAGACAAGTATGATAGCAACTGCTAGGAATCCCAATGCTCTGGGAGGCTGAGGCAGGAGGAGTTCAAATCTGAGCCCAGGCTGGGCAATTTAGTAAGAATTTGTCTCAAAAAAAAAAAAAAAAGTGGCAGGGCCTAGCATGTAGCTCAGCACGAATGAAGGTCCTAGGTTCAATCCCAGTAATGGAAAAAAAAAACCTTTATAATATTAAAAGTTTATATTTTAACAATGCATAGTTCACTTAAGCCCTTCGTGGGAAGGTCTTTTAGCTAATTGCAAAGTCATTGGCTTCCTAATAAAGCCCAGACAGGAGAACACCTGCCAAAGAATCTCATCTCAGGACTCCTGTTTCAAAATATATTAGGTTCACATGAAAAATTACCTTCTACATTTACCTCCATTGAAATGTAAATGTGGTCTTTATTCTCCACACTCCCTGCTTGGTCCCACAATTCCATTTGGAAATTCTGTCTGTGCGTGGATGACACAGCCTTTACCTCTTTTGGCACTGATAAGTGTGCTCTGCGTAGAGCTCTCTGTATGAGTTATTTTCCCTGTAATGAATGCTCTGCGCTCGGGCTTGTCTGTCCCCCTGCCGATCTCAGTGTTCCTTGATTAATGGAGCTGCCACCTCCGTGAGTGGATGTCACACCAACAAAGGCTCAGCCTGGAAATTGTCACCTCTCATCCCAGTTATCCAGGCCCTTCTGTTTGATGGGCTTTGTGCCTCTCCCACGTGGCCCTGGTGTTTCATTTTGGATTTTGTTAATAATAAGGAGAGCTACACTGAAGTAGATTATTGAATTATTAATTCACTAGAAATCATTTCTTTTGTTCAAATGATGTGCTTCATTTCATATGCATGGTTTTTCCCCCTATTTTTCACTGCTGTCAGCTACGCAGCTATTTAACCATTTAAATCAATATTATAGATCAATAGAAGCATTATTTTTTCTGGGTTCTTCCTGAAGATAAAGCCTTGTAATAATAGCACTGTTTGAGGTTTTTAAAAATAGTTCTTAAATGAAAAATTTTTGCTTCAGTCAAAGAATGGCTAAAAATTAAATTTGGCCATATGTGGTGGCACAGGCCTGTAACTTCGAGGGCTGAAGCGCGAGGTTCACAGATGTGAGTTCAGCCTGGGTAACAAGGCAAGACCCTGTCTAAACAATAAAATTAAAAAGGCCAGGGCTGTAGCTCACTGGTAGAATGTGTGCTTGGTAAACTTGAGGCCCTGGGTTCCATCCCCAGCACCACAAAATAGACAAAAAACAAACAATGAAAGGAGAAGGCACTGGAAACACCATCCACAAACATTCCAGAGGCATTTCATTGAGAGATGTAAGTCATAAAACATTCATCTGAATGCAAGATACAAAAGCTCACCAAAGACACCACAAGTGTGGTGCTTACTAATGCACAGAACATTAATGACCTTTAAGCAAGCACTCAACAGGACCAAAGTTTATGATGAATTAAAACATTAGAGAAATGTAAGCCAGGCATGGTAGCACACACCTCTAATCCCAGCACTCGGGAGGCTGAGGCAGGTGGATCACCATGAGTTTGAGGCCATCCTGGGTTACCTAGTGAGTTCAAGGCCAGCTTGAACTACAAAGCGAGACCCTGTCACAAAAAAAAGAAAAGAAAAGAAAAGTGTCTCTAATAACCCTATGGGGATTTTCTGCTAAGTATTCTAAAAAAATGATGAAGTAGAACAACTCTAGATCCTCAGACAGCATTAGCGGGTGCTGTTAGTTGTGCCACATGTCCAATATCACCTCCTGACAAAGTAATAAGAGAAATATTCTTTTGTTTACATATTTGCAATCTCACATCTCTCTCTCTCCATATATATGTGTATGTATAATTTGTTTTTCAGAACTAGAGCTTGAACCCAAGGCCTTCACACGGAGCTATATCTGCAGCCCTTTTTCATGTTTTATTTTGGAACAGGGTCTCACAAAGTCACTAAATTGCCCAGGCTGGGCTCAGACTTGCTATCCTCCTGCCTCAGCCTCCAGCAGTGCTGGGATTACAGGCGTGCTCCAGCTCCTCCAGCACCATGTGGATATTTTTAGATCCTTGCTCATCAGAATTGGGTGGGTGCCCTATGATTCCCTGCTAAGCAAGTCTAAGAAATTCTGTGACTCAACAGCATTATTCTCTGTTTCAGTTTATTGCTTTGAGAGGCATTGCTCATGTCTGCAAGAACTACTTCAGATTGCAACAGATATTTCACATCTAAATCACGCAAAGTTTCTAATCTTTCCTAGCCTTTAAAAATTTCTTCTTGATCAGCATGGGGATGCACACCTGTCATCCCAACTTCCAGGAGGCTGAGGCAAGAGGGACACATTCGAGGTCAGTCTAGGCAACTTTGTGAAAACCCTGTTTCAAAATAAAAGATACAAAATAAAAAGGGCTGGGGACATAGCTCAGTGCTCCTGAGTTCTATCCTCGGTACTGAAAAAATGTTTTCCTTTCTTCCTTATAGTCATTGCGTGACACTCCCAAGAAGATTAGAGACGGAGGGTCTGTCTACCTCCATCCCATTCTATCCATTCAAATCAATTTTGATTCTGAGATTCGACGCACAGTTTTATTCTCTGGTAGAAACTTCCTCATGCTTCTTCCTGGTAATTTTCTCTTGGTGACTCATGACCAATTTGCCAAAAGCCATCACTAGCCAGTCTGTTATCCTCCACTGAACTGAGCACAATCGGATTTTACAGGGCTTTTGTTTGTTTGTTTGTTCTTTGTTGTTGGTTTTGGTTTTTTCCCCCCGGTATTGGGGGAACCTTGAACCAGGGCCTCACACATGCCAGAAGCACTTAACCCCCAAGTTAATTCCCAGCCTGCAGTCAATCTGCCCTTAAAACCCATGAGTTATTTTAGACATATACAAGGAAGTTTTCAGCGTCACCTGATTTATTCCTCTGGGCCTGTCTGGAAACACTTCGAGTCCTCTCCCCTTTCAAGTTTTGAGGGTCAGGGCACTTTGGTTTCAGAAAATTGGAAAACTGAAGGATGAGGGTCCGTTCCCTGAGATTCTTCACATGCCTTGACAATTAGCTCTGTAGTCATTTTCCAAATGAATCGCTTTCATCTGAAAGGATAGTCCATAAACTTCTTACCTTTGGGAGAGGGACAAAAGGCTGCAGCTGGGCCGAGGTCCCTAGGTCACGCCCCAAGGTGCCCCGGATGCTCCAGCATGGTCTCCCTAGGCGTCTACATGACGAAGGCAAGGACCCTGAGCACCTCTAAGTGGCTAACAGGAGGAGACACTCGGGACACCCATCCAGCGCCTGAATTTGTTTACACCCTCACGCGCTGGAGTCAGGTTCAGGGCTCCTGTGTCCCGGGACACACTTCAGGAAGGGAGGCGTGGCCCCCTCCTTTCACTTTCTAAGCACGGAAAGTGTCCTTGACCTTCATCTATGGTGCATTCAGTACATTCCCTGGGAAGGAGAGGGCTGGGTGATGTGTTTATTACAGTACTTACTTTAAGGTAATGAACAGAAAAATCTGTCGCTTGTCCAGAATACCTCAAGTGCGCATCCAGGACCAAATGAATGAAATGTTACAAGCCACACATGGCCTGTGGACCGGGGCGGGCTCTCCCTCCTCCTCCGCCAATCATAACCGGCTTTGGAGAAGGGCTGGGACATGCGCCCAATCAAAAGCCTGGTCCCGCCTCCCCGGCCCAGCGTGTGGCAGGGTAGCCCCAGGCCTCAGACCCTAGATTTGCCAGGTGGCTGCCGCCCTAATTCGGCAAAACAGGAGAGCTCAATTTTGGATAAAGAACAAATACTCTTTTTCCTTTCTCTTTACTGAACGAACCCAGGGCATTGTTAGGCAAGCACTATACCGCTCAGCTAGATCCCCAGACAACAGCTTTATTTTTTTTAGCTTAGGTAAATCCCAATACTGCGTGAGGTATACTTTCCAAAAAAATCTATTGGTTGTTTGAAACAACTACGAGACAGTGACCACCACCTTGCAACATAAGGCTGAGATGACAAAATAAGCTCTTGGGTATTTAGGTCAGTGTTTCCGCCTGGCTCTCAGAAACAAGGAACCAAGTTCGATCCCTGGTACAAAAAAACAAAAACAAAAACAAAAAAGCCCTTGGGGGCAGTGAAGCATTTTTGCATTGTGGAGTGTTTCAAAAGACAGTCATGAGCGATAAAACCCCAAAAGAAGCATGTTTCCATAAAATCCGGAATTGTTATCTAGGAAACAAAACAAACCCTAAACAAGCCGGCTAGCTTCCCTTGTCATTTGTCTACTTAAAATCACTAGTTTCAGTGATAGGGAAAACTTTTATAAATAGCAAAAACCTATAAAGTGTTACAATGTAAAATGGCTCCTGCTGTCTCTAACAGCAGTTTGTTTTGTTTAGCTCAAAACTAACAGCTACTGAAGGCACTAATTGCTGAATGAGGCATTTGGTCTGACCCTGAGATAACACTCAAGGTCTTGAGCTCTGATGAGCCTGCAGTCACCTGATTATAAAAGTGTCTAAATGAAAGAACCCATTGCTAACGTTTGCTCCCCTGACCCTGAACACCCCCTTCCTATGGGCTAGAATAGATAACTAGGTGAATCTTAAAGGTAAACTCCCCAACTGCAAAGAACTGTTACGTCTGGATTGAAAAGTTTAACTATTCTGTGACCGTGATTTGAACTGTGATAATGAAATGTAACCATCCAAATGAAGTCAAGGCTGTAAAACCCTATAAAAGGAGGAGTTGTAACCCCCTGTGTAGTCTATTCAGGTGCAGTTTATATGGGATCGACCCTTATTGGTAAGTAAATTTATTATTTTACTTCCATTCTGCTGCCTCTCTGTGTGTCACTTACCGATTCCTTCTGTAACAGCAGAGGTCACACCCCTGGGCGACACATGGTCAGCACCCCACTGGCTGTTCTGTAGGTAAAGTTTCTTGACCGTGAGGTAGGGTTACTTCCCAGGAACTTTAAGGCTGTTTTTCTTGAGAACAGAGACTCTTCCTTGGGCATGTAGATGTCTGATGGGTGACTAAAATGGGACAAAGACTCACATCTCTGTCTTCATACTCTGTGCCCTTTGTAGTCTTAACCCTCAAGTCTGTCTCTGCCCGGCATGTGACACGCTGATCACTAAGGAGCGATCCAAGAGCTTGGCGGATCACCCATTGGAGCTGGCGCTGTTTCCTCCACCCCACCTTTGTTTCCTCAGCAGCTCAAGCTCGGAAAGTCCTTCAGCCCTGTTGGAAGGCCAGGGTGCGTAACAGATGGGAACCCCTGCTGCAAGCGTAACTCAGCAGTTCCTGAGCGGAGCTAACCTCCCGTGAGCTCACCACTACAGGGCCGGGGTGGGGGAGCGCAGGATGATGGCCCCGGATACAGGGAAATTCAACAGCTCTGGAAAGGGCTGACCATGCCACCTGTTGGTCCAAGTGCATCTCAAAAAGAAACATCTTTCGAAACCGTGGCCCTGAGGAATGGTGATTACTGGACTTTAGTCCACCCCAGAAAGTCAATAAACACCTCATGCTGTCATTGTTCTTTGAGCAGTGGCTTGCTTACTCTGTAGAGGGATTGCTGGCTCCTTTCGGCCAAAGCCCCAGTTCAGCTGAAGCCCCTCCTGTTCCCCTAACAAAGCTCTGCCTGTTCAGGTTGGCCCAGTCTCATTTCTGTGATCTCTGAGTAAAAGCTCCCACCATCCCCTATCAACTGGACAGTGTATTTTTATTTGCTAAAAATCAAGATCTAGGCCATGCAGTCTGTGACTTTTAGCATAGCACAGACACTTGGTTTCTATTAGAACCTCTTTAAAAACGGGTCTTGGTTTCCACACGCAAACATGAGGAAGAGACACCCCCCCCAGAGAAGGGAACAGGGAGGGGGCTGTTTTGACAGAGACTGAATCAAATACCTCCTCTGCCTGCCGGAGAGAGCACTTTGTCAGGACTCTGTGGTACTCTTCTGTGGTGAGCGACTTTGAAGGAGCAGCACCTAATACAGTGCTTACACAGAGAAACGATTTTTTTAAAGTATTAACTGAACAAACATTTGAAAGTGGTCCAACTAAAGTTAGCCTGCGGGTTAGCAGCAGAGGTAGATGGCAGCCTGCACGGGACTTGTCTCTTGGCTGTTTCTGTCTTTAGCCACAGTATTGATTCCCAGAGAATAAATCCCTTTGCCTGTCTTGAGTTTGAATTTCCTCATCTGTAATTTGGGTCTGATTATTTCCTTCCTGACCACTTCCAGGAAGCTGCTGAGGTGTTCCAGACTGAATGCGGATGCTCTCCCAGCAGCCCCAAATCACAGCCGCCTTGGTTCTCAGCAAAGTGCAGGGAAGTGTAGGCTCAGTGGCTCATGAAGGAAGAGGTTCTGTCCCAGAGGCCTTGGGATTGAGTCCCTCTCAGCACCACAGGGATGGGGAGAAGCCTGTGGGAAATGAGCTCTGATGCCCAAGTTCACCTCAACACTGTCTCCTGCAGGCTGACTGTCCACAGCTGTTGCCTGACTTTGATCTCTGTCAAAGCAGTCCCCTCTTCCCTATTGGGTTTCATCTGATGTTTGCATTTAGAATCTAAGGCCCATTTCTTTAAGAGGTTCTAACAGAAACTAAGTGCTTGTGCTAGACTAAAAGTCACACCCAGAGTGGGTGGCCTAGATCCTGGTTTTTTGTGTTTGTATGTGTGTGGGGTGGTACTGAGAATGAACCCAAAGCCTTTTCACTCTAGTCCTTCTCTTTGTTTGTTTTTTGAGATTCAGTCTTGCTAAGTTCTTAAATTGCCCAGTTGGGGCTCAAATTTGCTACTCTCCTGCCTCAGCCTCCCAGGGCCCTGAGATTACAGGTGTGCACCACCATGTCCGGCTCCATTTTCATCTCATGGATGAGGTCACTGTGACTCAGAGAGGCCTGTAAGCATCCATGACATATGGTCAAACTGGGATTGGAAGCCAGTCTGACTCCAGTGCCCAGGTTCCTTACCCCTCTGTCAAGGAACACATTTAATGTGGCTGGAGTGATACCTGGCCTACAGAGGCTGGGGATTTGAGATCGGAGGGCCTTAGGATCCTAGGGGCCATGGAGGTGTGACCAAAACAAGGATTTCAGCCCCGACACAAGAATACAGGATGGAGTCACACCCCGAGGGTGTGAATGGGCACTCAGCCAGGAGTCTGAGTGGGGAATTCACATAGTATCTCTCACAAAGGTGGCCTCATGCATGGGCATTTTAAAAAATGAATCCATAAGCCAGGAACATTTGTCTAAATACTTTAATTAAAATGCACTGTAATATGAAAGCCCAAGTGTACATAAAGAATTTGTGTTTACTATGAAAACATTAAAATATTCCCAGTAGCTGAACATTTTGATAATGAATTTTTAAATAGCTTTTTGGTTTTAATGTTATTTAAAATATTTATGTAGTTAAAAAATAACTTGCTATTCATTTTCTATGAAAATGTAGTACACACTGAGACATTTTAAGTGAGGAGAGATTCAACCCACATAAATACAGGTCGTGTTTTGCTACAGAGTTACAGTATTTCTCAGCTGTGCCATTCCTCAGCAACCCATTTCACTTGGAGAATGACGGCCATCTCCAATTCAATTTACCTACTATCTCAGCTTTGCAAAAGTGCTGAATTTCATGAGACAGCTCAGTGAAATTGAGACAGGGCTAATCTCATGTCAAAATCAATTTTCCAGGACAATTCTTGGAGACCACAAGAATCTCTCGCTTTATATAACAAGCAGGATACAAAGTCTGATTTCTAAAAGAATAAATTCATTCATATTAAAAAAGATTCCTTATAAAATGGGATCTCACAGTGAAAGTGCACGGAAACATTTTGCCATCTACAGAGGGCAATATGTTTACTTTACAGGAGTATCAGAAATACTAGCTACAGGTGGGAGCGCTCTCTATGCCTGGGTCTTAGAAAATGTGGTACAAATATGAGAATGCTAAATGGGATAGCCAGGGGGGGAAATCTGCCTAAACTCCCAGACTTCCCAATTTAAAAACAGTTTTAATAAAAAGAAATAGGGAGACAGATCTTTTGAATGGGAAGGAGACCAAGAGACAGAGGGGAAGAGGAGGTAAAAATAATTAAGATGTGTTACATACATGTACCAACTTTCCATGATGAATGTAATCATTATGTATTGCAAGCATGTACTAATAAAAATAAAAATTAAAAAGTGTACCAGTGAAATTCTATCTGTACAAGGTGTTTTTTTAGTGCTGGGGCTGAAAACTACCTAGGGACTTGCACAAGCTAGACAAGTGCTATACTACTGAGCTTTTACCTTCTGTACAAGATTTTTTTGATTGCAGCATTGCTTTTGTTTAGGTTGGGTTTTTGTTTGCTTTTTTTTTGGTTTTTTGAGACAGGGTCTCACTATGTAGTTGAGACTGACCTGGAACTCACTATGTAGCTCAGGCTGGTCTCAAACTCACAGTGATCCTCCTGCCTCAGTCTCCCGAGTGCTGGGATATCAGACATGTGCCACTACATCCAGCTTGCAGCATCATTTTTAATAGCACAAGATTGGGAACAGCCAAATGCCCATCAGTGGGAGAGTGGTTTAAATGTCATGATAGAATAGGCTGGATTACAATTAGGAACACAGAAACATACTCTTTAAGTACTAGCAGGGAATACAGTAACTCCCAAAATAAACTAAGTGGAAAATAACGGTGGCTCTAGTATATGTTACAACTTCTGTTACAAAACAAAGGCCAGGCACAGTGGTATGTACCTGGAGTCCCACCTACTAGGGAGGCTGTGAGGCAGGAAGATCAGTTGAACCCAGGAGTTCACCCAGCCTTGGGCAACACAGTGAGAACCAGTCTCAAAAAATAAATAAATAAGGAAGGAAGAAGGATTATATGTATTCCTTGTATACACATAAAATCTCTCTGAAAGGATACAGAAGAATCTTCTGGCCCTGCTTGCTGCCAGGGAGGAGTCCAGGGAGTTTGGACAAGAAGGATGGGGAGGGTAGAGAGTTCTTAATGAGTATCCTCCTGAACCCATATAAATATGTTATTACTTGTTATACTAAATTAACAAAAACTTTAGAGTAAAATAATAATGTGGATCATCATGACATTTAAGTTCCTAGACCAAATGATCTGGCATCAACTGGACAAATCTTTTCATCACTCTGGGATTTGGAATCGCTTAGCTCAACATGGGAACTCCCAAATTGTTTAATTTTTTTCACCCTGGAAATGAATGTTCTCTTAAACTGATGGGCTAATACACAGAGCTGCAAGCCCTTGGATGTCACTTGAGCAGCTCTCCACACTCCAGGCCCTCCTGGAGCTCCGGGCCCTTTGGGTTCCTTCCTGCCGATAGGAACAAATGTCTCAATGCTGGTTTTCATCTTTGATCATTCCCTCCCCTAAGAGCCATTCGGTATGCAAATAAAACCCTCTCAATATATTTTCATGGCCTGAATGTGGCTTTCTCCCCCACTTTTTTAATCATAAAAATGCGGTCTGGAGAGACTTTAGAGAGTTTAAATGGTGTCACATCTGTGAGATTTCATTTTCCAGGATTGATCAAAGCTGTTGCCACCACCTCACTAGCAAAGCTGTCAAAAGCAAGTGACAGCCTGATCCCTGCTGGCAATACAGGGGGCTTTCCAAGGTGACAAGCCAGAGACACTTCTACAGGGCTGTCCTGTTGCCTCCAACAGCTGCAGCCCCTTGCTAGTACACGCATTTCTATTCTAACTGTTCTGAGAGGATGGTGTGGGGCTGAGCGGACAGGAGTGAGGGAAAGCTAAGCGCCAGCTACCCTAGGAGCCTCGAGTCCCTCACAGTGCGACTGCCAGCCAAGGATGACGATGTCCCATGCTCAGGTGGAACTGCCACTGGCAGAACAGCTGTCTTCAGCAGAACTATTTGCTTTCTGTTCTTGCAACAGGGAGCCGACTCCTGCGGGCCCCTCCTGGACCCAAGCCCACAGCTCCTGCAACAGAGCCCCCAGTCTGTCTCCCTGACTATGAATTTTAAAAGTAGAAAGTGATTTTTTGTTTTTAAAAATAGCAACCTTCCCGGGGAGCTGGGGTCCTCCAGGGAGACTGGGAGCTCCGGGACCCTGACTTTGGAAGGAAGGTGTGGATTCCAACACGAAGCCCGCCAGGAGGCGCTCTGGGCAGAGGCAGGCTGGGTGGGAACCGCCGGTGCCCGGGGCCCTTACTGCGGGGCTGCCTCCTTCTCCTCCGGCCTCACCAGTGACAGCGTCTGCTCGCCGGGCTCTGGGGCGGGGCTCGGGCTCGGGCTC